CGGTTTTTCAGACAGTGCGGTAGTATCCGGTTTTTCAGACAGTGGGGTAGTATCCGGTTTTTCAGACAGTGGGGTAGTATCCGGTTTTTCAGACAGTGGGGTAGTATCCGTTGTAAAGAATGAATGAAATAAGACATGGTAATTAGAGAGAAGTGGGTCAGAAGCGTTTTTTTTTAATGCGATGATAAATCCCATCTTTTCTAGCCTAGAGCCAAAATCTTTAAATATTTCGTATGGAATTTGATTACAGTTTTGGTGACAAAATCAGAAGATAGAGAAAGATCAGTGTGTACAGTAATTATTTTGATATTTTCATTAACTTTATTAAGATAGTTTTCATCAAGAGCATGAAAGTTTGAGAAAATAAAGATATATTTAAAAATTTGAAATAGACCAGCTTTTTTATTGCCATTTTAGTAGCTTGAGTTGTTAAATATGTCTTATTAGTGTCTGATAGCGAATACGACCTTTAGCTTAGTTGGAAAACACTCATCCGATATACAAGTTATTACAGGTTCTATTATCCTCAAGCACGATAGATTATTACATCAGTAAAAATGAAGGTAGTTTTGTATTTGATATTACTAAGAGCATAGGTGTCCTTTTATAGAAGGTTTTATGCAGTGTGTATCTCGAATAATTCTGTCGTTATATTCCATCTAGCTCCGATCGCTACATTAAATCTATCTTAGCGCAATAGGTGGCGCTAAGTTATTCGAATTAGGCTGGTTGTTTGGTTGTTTCTAATTAAGCACAAACCTACACAATGGGCTATCTGTGCTCTGCCCACCACGGTTATCGAAACCAGGTTTCTAGCGTTGTAAGTCCGCAGACATGCCGCTGTGCCACTGGGGGGCACGAATTAGGCAGTGTTGATGTGTTGAATAATATCGTCTCTAAAATTAAACGCCTCCTTATGGCTCAGCGATAAGCTTCTGGACTTTATGACACTAAAAATCAGGTTTCGATACCCATCGTGGACACAGCACAAATAACTCATTGTGTACCTTTGTGCTTAACAATAAACAGAGCTATCTATAGCAATTTCCAACTTATGTAAACAAAAAAAAATGACGGATTTTGTTTAGAACTGACAAAGGCAATGTTAAATCTTGCCAGTATAATTGTACTGTGAACAATTTTTGGATTTCATTATTTTTACTATTTATTGGTGACTTGAGAGAAGTAAATATAAAGAGGCGCCACCTTTCTTGGATGTTGGTTTCTGAGGTGAGTTTAGAGGAACTTAAATTATTGTTTCGTCAGCGAGGTCACGTGACTAGTATCACGCTACCTCCTTCTAGAAATATCCTGTTCCTTCGTGAATTGTCGGGAGACTACTAGATTGGGGGTCAGTCTGGTATATATAAGACGGTCACAACAATGAGTAATTGAACTGCAGTCAGAGAAT